GGTGATTAATATGCATAAATATTTACCAAAACTAATTGGGTCTTTGCATAGTTCTAGATTCATTGAAATGTGATGATTAGTACTTTAGATATCAGTAGAAAAGCTGAAAATTAATTACGCAAATTAGGTAATTAATATGCACAATTATTTACCCTAATACTAATCAGGTCTCTGCATAGTCCTAAAGAATCTATGTACCAAGTTTCATTGAAATGTGATGATTAATACTTGAGATATGCATGGAAAAGCTGAAAATTAACTAATTATGCAAATTAGGTGATTAATATGCACAAATATTTATCTTGAAACAATCAATCTCTGCATAGTCCTCGAGTATCTAAGTACCAAGTTTCAATGAAATGTAATGCTCACTACTCATATCAAAAGCAGAAAATTAATTAATTATGCAAATTAGGTAATTAATATGTACTGATATTACCATAAAAACTATCAGGTCTGTGCAGTGTCCTATGACATCTATGTACCAAGTTTCATTGAAATGTGATGATTAGTATCAGTGGAAAAACCGAAAATTGACTAATCATTATGCAAATTAGGTAACAAGTCATTGTCAATGACACGTCCCCATTCCGTTCATATTTGAGTGACATATACATTCAAAGCAGATCATGACCGAAATGCACCTGCATATGTACAACACATTGTACTAAATCTGAACAAAATCATCCATGCATGACTGAGATCTGGTTCCGGAATTGTGAAAATACGTGATTTTAATGCATTTTCGGTCTTAAAATGGCCATCATTCAGCTATTGTTAAGCGGATCATGAAACAAATGTACATATCTATTTGTGACATGATGCACCATGTGTGTGTGAAGTTTGAACTTGATCAATCCAGACATGTCTTGATACGGATCCAGAACTGAATTCTTTAAGAAAATGGCCGCCAGTCGGCTATTTCGACTTGATCCGGGAAAAAAAATGACGTGCATCAAGATCCTATTATGTTTAATGTAAGTACCGAAATTTGACGAAATCCGTCCA